ATATATTTTAATTATGTTGTATTATTATATATAATCAAAAGTCATAATAAAATAAACATAATAATAATAATAATAAATCATGAGTCAAGTAAACAGCAAAACATCCTGAAACAACAATTAATAGTTTGGTTTTTAGGTAAACATTCAACAATAACTTGGACACTATATGCTTTGAAAGGTTCAATCATCTCCTGTAATGCCACAGCGCTGCAGTGAAGGATATAATGGAGCGTGTACCAGAGCGACCTCAGCTGCGGGTCGTCTCCTCCGGCCAGCACGTGGTTCCTCCACACCTGCACGGTGTCGTGGCCGTAACGCGACTGCGCTCGCTCCCTCATCTTAGTGGCGATGTCCTTCTCAGCAGCGGCCGCCCCCTGACCGGCGTCCTCCGCGCACTCGTACAGGTGCCGCCCGCACGCCCACATCAGCGCCGTGGTGGAGCTCCAGGCCAGCGATATGCGCTCAAAGACGGTGAAGTCGTTCATGACCCGGTTGGGCGACACCACCACCATGCGGTTCTGGGCGGACGGATGCCAGGCGAAGCTGCTGATGATGCTCTCGCTGCAGGGCTGGACGCTGCGCTCGATGATGGTGGGCTCAACCTCGTCGCCGAACGGCATGGGTGTGTGCTGCATGTCATACAGCCGGATGATGTTGCTGTCCCGCGTGAGCGTGGCCAGCAGGCCCATGCGAGTGGGACACCATGCCACTTTAGTCAAAGGTTTGGACTGCTCGGTCAAAGTAAAGACCGGTTTTTCGAATTTGCGCAAATCCCAGATGGCCACCTGGCCTTCGAAGAAGGATGCAACGCGATCCTGAAAGTGAGGATCCACCGTTACGCCCTGGATGGCTTTGGTGTTCACAAACGTCTTCTGGCTGGTGTTGCGCAGGTCAAAGATGGCCAGATTTCGATGCATCCCAGCCAGGAGTAACTTTTGATGATCGCGAGGGAGCCAACAAAGAGAAAGGCATGCATCGTTCTGTCCGAGCTCGTACAGCGGTTTGGTCACCACCAACCCAGAGTCCACGTCTCCAGACAGACGAACCTTCTCAGCAGGAACCGCTTCGGGGGAAAACTTACTACTTATGTCCCATATGAGAACGGAAAAATCAGCCCGATGTTTGTCCAAACCAGCCGCCAGCCAGTTACTGTCCACCGGGTTCCACGCGAGTGTGTTGCATTGTCGGGCGTGCTTGGGTACAAACTCTTTACCCACCAGCTCCTTACATTTGGAATTATGGCTCTGTCCCAGACTGGTCAGGACGACTCGTCCGTTGGCCTGTCCCACAGCCAGCAAACACTCTGGCTCTTGTTTGGGATACCAGGCCACACATTTCATATACGGGGCGTCGGAGTTGATGGCCAGCAGCGTGGCTGCCGTCTCCTCGGATAGCGGAAGGGCACCGGCTTTGGTCTCCGAGTTTCCTGCAGGTCCGATCCGATACAGACTGAGTTCAGTGTCGCAGATCACATAGCGGTCTGCATGATGGGGAGACCACAGGATATCGGGCTTATAGCCGCTCGACATGGCAGGACAGTGGTTTGTTCAGTGCAGATACCTGCGAATGATAAAGATTCTTATTTACATAGCACTTACACACCTCACCTATTTTACCTATACTTGGATTAATTAATATATTTATACATACATATATATATATATATATAATGTTAAATATGATATATATAATAATTAATAATGTTAACCCTAACCTATATATAAGTATATGTCTGGGCATATATGTGGGCATACATATTCCGTATCATAATATAATAATATAATCTATTCTACGTAATATAAGCCTATTATTAAAAAATGTTAGTTAAAAATAATTAATATTATTAATAATTATTATTGATTATAATAAAATCATTATTATTTATTTATTTTTATATATTATATGACTTGTAATTACATAATTATGAATTGAATAGTACTTTAATAGTAATATTACAAACTTTATTTTTATTAAATTGTATTATTATTTTTACTATTATTTGTTATATTCTTGCATTATATATATATATATATATATGCAAGAATTTTACTATTATTTGTTACTATTTTTACTACTAGTGCTGTCAAACAATTAATCGCATCCAAAATAAAAGGTTTTTGTTTACATAATATGTGTGTGTATGTTATGTATATTTATTATGTATATATAAATACACATGCATGTATATATTTAAGAAAAATATGTTGTTTATATATTAAATATATTTTTATATAATATAAAAATAAGATTATAAATATGTAAATGTAAATATTTTCAAAATATATACTGTATGTGTGTGTATTTATATATACATAATAAATATACACAGTACACACACATATATTATGTAAATAAAAACGTTTATTTTGGATGCGATTAATCATTTGACAGCACTAGTTACTACTATTATTATTTTTACTATATTAAGTACCATATCAGTTACAAAATATTATTACTTGCCTATAAGGCCCTTAATGGGTTAGCTCCTGCGTACCTAACTAGTCTTCTACCACACTACAATCCATCACGCTCCCTAAGGTCGCAAAACTCTGGACTTTTGGTAGTACCTAGGATAGCAAAGTCCACTAAAGGAGGTAGAGCTTTTTCGCATTTGGCTCCCAAACTCTGGAACAGCCTTCCTGATAACGTGAAGAGAAAATTCAAGTAGATTGTTAAAGCCATAATGTGTTCAAATAAACATTAAATGAAATAAAATCATTAATATGACCGCCTCACGATTCTATCACTTCGTGTTAAGATGTAAATATTAAATAACTGGAGAAAAAAATAAAACCGCTTTTTGAAAAAGAGGTAACGAGTGAAAATGTTCTTTTAACTTTTAATAACAGTGAGTTAGCCGGTTAGCTATAGCTAAACTAACCATTTCAACCTTTTCTAAACCGGAAACAGCTAATGACAGACGCCAGCCACTACATGAAGACACTGAATAAACCATGCTTTAAAATATAAATAAATGACAGCTGTGTTCATGAAAGTTTGATAAATATAAACTCACATTTGACGTGCAAGCATGCTGAAGTTTGTTTAGGTAGCGTGAAGTCGGAAGCAGTGCAGACTGTAAACACAACGTGACAGAAACACACAAAATAAAAGTCCCACTCCGTTTACCCAATATAACCGGCATCGACGAGCAGAGAGGAACGAGGATTATATTAATACAGTTGGAGAACTAAACCTAATAGCGTCTGTCTCAACAGTCAAGTCTTCCATAAAATAAACCAATTCAATTAAATCAAACGTGAAACAGAGATAAGTAAACCTATTGTCGCCACATACACACAAAAACAATGCTCTGGTAAATCTTAATTATGCTATAAAAAGTCACAATTGTGAGATTACAACGTCAAAATTATGTTAGAATATCTAAAAAAAAAAAAAAAAAGTATGAGATAAAGGTCTCAATTATGAGAAAAATAACATTATGACATGAAAAGTCGAATTATGTCGTAACTGCATTTTTATGGATGGCTGTGGTTCAGGAGTGGCTTAACAAGAGGAATACAACAACTGTAGCCAAATTCCTTGACACGTCTGTGTGTGGTGGCTCTTGATGCCTTGACCCCAGCCTCAGTCCATTCCTTGTGAAGTTCACTCAAATTCTTGAATCGATTTTGCTTGACAATCCTCATAAGGCTGTGGTTCTCTCGGTTGGTTGTGCATCTTTTTCTTCCACACTTTTTCCTTCCACTCAACTTTCTGTTAACATGCTTGGATACAGCACTCTGTGAACAGCCAGCTTCTTTGGCAATGAATGTTTGTGGCTTACCCTCCTTGTGAAGGGTGTCAATGATAGTCTTCTGGACAACTGTCAGATCTGCAGTCTTCCCCATGATTGTGTAGCCTAGTGAACCAAACTGAGAGACCATTTTGAAGGCTCAGGAAACCTTTGCAGGTGTTTTGAGTTGATTAGCTGATTGGCATGTCACATATTCTAATTTGTTGAGATAGTGAATTGGTGGGTTTTTGTTAAATGTGAGCCAAAATCATCGCAATTAAAATAACCAAAGACTTAAACTACTTCAGTCTGTGTGCATTGAATTTATTTAATACACGAGTTTCACAATTTGAGTTGAATTACTGAAATAAATGAACTTTTCCACGACGTTCTAATTTATTGAGATGCACCTGTAAATGGTCAAAACTGCACTAAAAACCTTTTGTACACGATCTACTACATGCCTTCTGTCTCTGTTAGATAGTTTCAACTTCTAACAATTAAAAGGCCTTTTAATATGATTGTAAAATCTTCCACCTTCAGGTTGTGGCTCACCTGTCTTTTTTCTGTGACATTTTTACGGATTTTTATAAACATATTCATAATTTTTATATCTTTAGTAATATTGCAAGATGAACACTTACTGGACTTAAGCAGCTTAAGGTTTACTTTATTATCCATATTTCAGGGAAAAAAAACATGATAAAATGTGAGTATCAAATACAATCATCAGGCTTTTGAGGAACTTTTTTTGTTCATCTCTCAATTATCATTGTTTTGCATTGCATTATATGTTTTGAAACTACATATTTTAGATCATAAAACTAAGCATATAAAAATATCACCTTACTAAGACATATTACTGGGAGATTTAGAGTGACAACTGATATGTATATGCATTTTTTAAGTAGCCTGTCATACTGCTATAAAGATCTCATTGATTTACATTACAAGCCATCAGGATATTTGGCCATATAAATATCAGATACTGCAACAAATTGCATATTTTTACTCAGTTTGGTTGTATGAGCTGTTTTTTCTTCCTTTTGAGCTCCATATTCTCACACTACTCAAAACAAACACATTAAAACACGAGCATTTTGTTTTTAAATTTGATCTAAAGGTTCACTAAAAACTGTTCCATTAAAATAAATAAATAAATAACAATTCTGGCAATTATTTCATATGTCAGAACCATAGTTGACCATAGCTGATAACACCAATAAAGTGTGTTTATGTTTTTTTTTCTGGTTTCAGAGTTAGTATGCACACTAGAGATCGCATTCATCCTGGACAGCTCAGAGTATTATTTCATATGTCAGAACCATAGTTGACCATAGCTGATAACACCAATAAAGTGTGTTTATGTTTTTTTTCTGGTTTCAGAGTTAGTATGCACACTAGAGATCGCATTCATCCTGGACAGCTCAGAGAGTGCGAAGGGCCTTCTGTTCGATCAAGAGAAAGCATTTGTGCGCTCCTTCAGCAAGCGGGTGGCACAGATGCAGGTGTCCGACTGGCATCTGAAAACCCGTATGGCACTCATCTACTACAGCAGCTCAGTCCATATCGACCAGCACTTCAAAGACTGGCAGGAGCTTGACGTCTTCCTGAGCAGATTGGCGGACGCCATCTACATCGGCCAGGGAACGTACTCCACATACGCCATATCCAACACCACTCAACTCTTCACCAGCGAGACCAAGGAGCAAAGTGTGAGGGTCGCCCTGCTCATGACCGACGGCATCGACCATCCGCGGAATCCTGACATCATGACGGCGGTCGCCGAGGCCAAAGGCCACAACATTAAGATCTTCACAATTGGCTTATCAAACTTGGCAAAGGACAACGTGAACAGTGCCAAACTGCGGGTCGTAGCGAGCAGCCCAGCGCAGCAGTACTTCCACAGCCTCACTGACCCCAAACTGGAGGAACGGCTCCTGCAGCAGCTCGTGAGACATTCACTTCATCTGTCAGACTCATCAGACATGATGAGCCCATATTATAAATACAAATAAATGATCAATTAAAAATATAATGGAAAGTAAAAGATGCATTCAGATAGCACAATTAAATTACACAATAAACAAAAACAGTCAATACTGAATTGAGAAATGGAATTAATACTTTTTAATAAATTTAAAAAAAAGCCCTGCACACCACTTCATTCACTATTGAGATACATCAGCATTTTGCATCAAATGAAGTCATGATTTTATCACTTTGTGCAACAGAACAGGGTATGCTAATATAAATGATTAATTACTATAATAAAAAATATAAAAAATGGTATTTCATGAAACACACACATATAACTTCTATATATATAATTTCTATGCAAACACAAAATCACCCTTTGAATTAAAAGGATATTAATTAATTACTTATTATAATTCAAATGTTTAAGAATATAAAAAATATAATATAAAAATCGATTAATGGATTCTATAAATATAATAAAAAATATAAAATAAAATTATTTGTATATAGTATAACACAAAAATCACCTTGTGCAACAGAAAATGTATTCTAATTAAGATTTATAAAAATATTACAAATCTAATATAAAATTATCATTAAAATATATTAGTCATATATCATGTGTAATATATTTTTATTTCAATTTTATTTTAATGATCTGTGCAGCCTTAAACCTAAAGAGAGAAATGAACAAACAAACAAGTAAAAACGCAAATGGCCCACTAATACTCTGGAGTATGAAGTTTTGCATTCCAGAGCACGTTTTAATAATAAAAAGAAATAAAAAGAAACACAAAGAAACTCTATGAACATTAAAAACCATCTAACACAATATAGTTTTGGATCATTCTAAATTCTGAATCTAAACCTCTTGATTGCTTAAAATCTAAACTGCTTGATTGTTATATCATCTAAAAATATAAACTATATTAGCCATGAATAGCCATGTTCGTGTAAAACACACACCTGTGATTTAGGTCAATAAGAAACCACCAAGCAGCCACCCATATTGCATATTTGGGAAGCAACATGGTAATAAGTGCTCAAAACATTTTGGCATACACAGAGACACACGACACTCATTTCTCACATGGACTCCAGCTGACATGCCACTTATTCATTTAGCTTTGATTTAAGCACTTGCTTTCTATTTCTATATTCCAGCCTACAGGAAATATTGCTGTTATTTTGGGCCAGATAATAGATGCTCACAAATGGGCGTCTAGATTTGATTTGTGAGGGTCTGAGATCCAGTGTTCAGTCTGCTGTCCTGGGGCATGGTTCACACATCAGTGGGTGTGGGGGATTTTCCACAGAAACACAGAAGGGGCTGGCGCTCATGAAATGTCAAGCACTGTCTGTGATCGCACAATACGGGCCTCTTAGAAATGCATCAAAGTTTCCCATGCCATGCATGCACGGGATTTGACAATAAATTTAATTCATTTTGGTACTGTGATTTGTGTTCTAATTCTCATTTCTTATTTCATTTTTTTCCCCAGGAAATAATTGCAAAGAATGAAGTAAGTACTGGACTATCAAAAATATTTGATCATGTCGTTCCAAACCTGTATGAGCTTCTTTCATATTTTGAACACAAAAGAAGATATTTTGAAGAACCAAATAGTTGTTGGTCCCCATTGACTTCAATAGTAGGGGAAGAATTACTATGGAAGTCAATGGATACCGTCAAGTGTTTGGCAAAATATCTTCTTTTGTGTTCAACAGAAGAGAAAAACTCAAACAAGATTGGAACGACATGAGGGTGAGTAAATGATGACAGAATTTTCATTTGTGGGTGAATAAAAATAAATTTAAAAAACTACCTGTTGGTTGTATTCCTCCTGCCAGTGTCCACGGCCACCGGTGTGTTTGTGTGAGAAAGGTGAACGCGGTCCTCCAGGAGCTCCTGTGAGTATCGCTCAGATGAAATTGAGGCCATTTTCGTTTATTAGTGTCATTCATGAGAAAAACTCTACTTTGTTTAGGGTACTAAAGGAGAGCAAGGTTATGAAGGAGCAACTGGTCAAAAAGGCTCAAGGGTGAGAGTGAAAATAATTACCTATAATTATGATTATTAGATCTGTAGTTTACTGTTGTTGACTAGTTGATCTGATATGTTTTACAGGGGGAAACAGGAGCACCCGGTCTTCCAGGAATCAACGGTCCAGAGGTACATCACATCTTCATATAATCACTTTATACAGTCTGTGTTACCAATGACTCTCTGACCAACACTGGTTCTGTTCCTGGTTCCTCATCCACAGGGAAGACCTGGGTTCAAAGGGGATAAGGTGAAACCTCAGAGTTTTATATTTCACATATACATATGTTATTGCAATGAAGTCATTAACAGCTTCATACAGAATGCTCTTGATGACTCGTGATGTCAGATCAGAGAGAGAAACTATTATTTATTATTTATAAACTATTATTAAGAGAAACAATTATTATGATTTTTTTTATGTTTTTAGAAGTAAAAGCTCACCAAGGCTGCATTTTTTGATCAAAAATAAAATGTTAAAATAACGGTTTTCTATTTAAATATAGATATTTTACAATATTATCATTTTTTTCTGTATTTCTGATCAAATAAATGCAGCTTAGGTGAGCATAAGAGACTTCTTTCAAAAACATCTGAATTATTCGGAACCTTTGACCAGTAGTGTATGCTAAATTAATATTGTGCACATATAATAAAATGGAAAAATTCATATTCTCATCGGAATTATTAATGCTACTATCACTGTTCTTACACATTCTGTTCCACAATGCAATCATTGAGACTTGAGTCATGTTTTAGGGAGATCAAGGAAACTGTGGACCACCAGGACAAAAGGGACATAAGGTATGTCTTCTGTACTGACCTAAAATATTTATATTCTAATATACAGAATACATGATTAATAAATCGTTTTTATTGTATTTCACAGGGCACCGAAGGGCCTCCAGGGCTGAGGGGCCCCAGAGGAGAGCAGGCACAGTATAAATATTTAACATTTACATGACATATTATATGCCACACTGAAGGTGTCAGCTGAATTTATATATTTTTATATATAAATTTTATATAGTTTTTTATATTGTGGGATACTCATTCAGTTATTTTAGTATTTAATTTGATTCTGTAAACCTTTGGAGAAGTCTTTGTAAAGGTGGCATAAAATTCTCTATGGTATTTATGTTCTGAATGATGACATATTTTTTTCCATTACATTTTTTGGCACAAAATAGCTCCAGTAGCAAAAGAGATTTTTGACGAACTAACTAACTAAAATAAATAAAGTTGGGAAAATTTTGTAAGAGCAGCCAAAAATGATAGTCAAAAATAATAAATTATTTCTTTAATTATGACACATCTCACAGACAGTCACATTGAATGAATTTATGTATTTATGAATTTTAATCAATGTTGCTCTTAAAAGTTGATCTCTCATCATTCTTTTTTTTGTCATTTAGAATATAACTGTTAACATTATGTATAAATGATAATTGCATAATTTTTGTCCATATATGTACAATTAAATGCTTTCAAAAAATAAATAACTGCAGTCCTGTCATGACAACTCTCGGAGAGTTTAGCATGGCAATATATGTGGCAATGTTAATGTCTTTGGTCTTGGTGGAATAGATCTGCTACGCTGTTGCGAGTATTACTGGCAATACATCCACAGACATGCTGCTGTGAGCATGCAGGAAATACTGCTGCTCCACATATATATGAAAACCCCCCATGCAACATACATGAATTTACGCCGTAGCAGATCTATACAGGTGGAGCTGGGGAAGGTGGAGGGTTTCTGAAGTGCGCTGCAACTGCTAAAGCAAACAGTAGCCAAATATTTGAATGTTGAGCAGCGAGCTCATTGGCTACTGATGCGATAAGAAACCAAACAGCTGCACCATGTGAATAATGATGTGATTGACTGAATTAGAACCTATCAGCCTACTCCATCTAGAGTTTCATGACAGAAATTTCTATTACTATAACTACTTTTTATGCCACTATTTATAAAGAAACAATTCTAGTGCAGAATTGACACATTTTAGTACCCAACTGCCATATTGTGTTAAACTGTAAACAAGAACATTAAGCTTAATCAAATTTAAAGGGGTCATATGATGTTGCTAAAAAGAACATTATTTTGTGTATTTGGTGTAATGAAATGTGTTTATGTGGTTTAAGGTTAAAAAAACACAATATTTTCCACATATTGTACATTATTGCTTCTCCTCTATGCCCCGCCTTTCTGAAACGCGTCGATTTTTACAAAGCTCATTGGTCTGAAAAGCGAGGTGTGCTCTGATCTGATACTATTAAACTGTGAGGGAATATTTAGATCGGGTGGCGTCTGGTTATTTGTTAATCTAGCCATCATGTCATAATCTCTAAAATCTCTTTATACAGTTTATTTATACATTTAGAAATATAAAATTCAATGCATTAGTTGTATCACAAGTTGTCTCATCACAAATGTGGTGATCATGGCAGTCCGTGGCTGTTTCCCCACCCTGCACTTATGGAATGTGATCGGCAGATCGCTCGTAAGCCTATGCTAATGTACACATGTAAAGCAGTGAATCCAGGCTTGCAGGATATTATTCTTTTTCTGAGGACGACTTTGTACAGTGGGATTAGTGAAGAGACAGAGTAGATCAGATCGACTGGGTCAAGTCCCTCAAAACCCGTACATTTTAACAGGCATCTAGCAGCCTAAAAACGCCATATCATCCTATACTATTAGAGTTTATTGCATCTAGGCATATGGTTGAAGAATTGTAAAAGGAATAGTTCACCTAAAAATGAAAATTTGCTGAAAATGTACCCATCCACAGGCCATCCAAGATGTAGATCCTTTTTTTTCTTCATCAGAACAGCTTTGGAGAACTTTAGCATTCCATCACTTGCTCACCAATGGATGCTCTGCAGTGAATGGGTGCCGTCAGAATGAGAGTCCAAACAGCTGATAAAAACATCAAAATAATCCACAAGTAATCCACATGACTCCAGTCCAGTCCATCAATTTATGTCTTGTGATGTGAAAAGCTGTCTATTTGTACGAAACAAATCCATCATTAAGGCATTTTTAACTTCAAAGCACTGTTTACAAGCAAAAATGTTTTAGTGTTATTATAAATTATGGAATTATGGACTATTTTAGCCAGAAACAAAAGTTTAGCAGTTAAAATATCTTAAAGATGAATTTGTTTCTTACAAACACACAACTTTTAGCTTCACAAGACATTAATTGATGGACTGGAGTGGTGTGGATTACTTGTTGGATTATTGTGATGTTTTTATCAGCTGTTTGGACTCTCATTCTGACGGCACCCATTCACTGCAGAGCATCCATTGCTGAGCAAGTGATGCATTACTAAATTTGTCCAAATCTGTTTAGATGAAGAAACAAAGTCATCTACATCATTTTTTTGGCTGAACTATACCTTTTTTGAATAAAATTTCAACTTAAATTTTAACCTATTTCTTCATTATTTCACCAGGGTCTGAAAGGGCCTCCAGGAGACCAGGGACATGAGGGTCCAGCAGGAACTAAAGTAGGATCATATCTTCTATTTCCTTGCCAGTGAGACGTCTGTAACTGATATTTGTGACTTAAATAGTGACAAAGATCTGGTAGTAAAGAATGACATTTTAGCGATGTTTCCATGTCGGTTTAAATGCAGATCTTTTGCCTTTCGTGTTTGGCTAGGAATCTTTAACAAAGAGTGCCTTGAAAATCTGACAAATATATAATAGCACATTCAAATGCAAAAAACCCTAAACTGTTAGACACAACGGGTGCCTTTATGCTCTGTAAATGTCAGTTGGAATATACATGAGAGAAAACATGTACTGAACCCTTTCACCATACCTCATGCTCATAGTAGACAAAGTAAAAGTAGCAATGTTACATGTACCCAGGATGACTGAGATTTAGCAGAAAATAAATCAGCTTTAACTTTGCATAAACTTTAAATTCATATAAAGATCCAAATGATGGCTGCTGACCTTCAGATTGTTCCTAGGGTGATCGAGGGCCGATTGGTTCATCTGGCCCACCGGGAGATATTGGAGTCGGATTTCCTGGTCCAAAGGTAAACTTCTCAGGACTTTTAAAAGAAATGAATACTTTTATTTAGAAAGGATGCATTGAATTGATCAAAAGTGACAGTAAAGACGTATAATGTTACAAAAGATTTCCATTTTCAAATAAACGCTGTTCTTCAAACTTTCTGTTCATCAAAAAATGTTGAAAAAATGTATCACAATTTCCACAAAAATATTACACACCACAACTGTTTGAGGATAATAATAATTGTTTCTTTAGCAGCAAATCAGCATATTAGAATGATTTTTAAAGGATCATGTGACACTGAAAACTGGAGTAATGATGCTGAAAATTCAGCTTTGCATCACAGGAATAAATTACATTTGAAAATATATTCAAATATAAAACAGTTATTTGAAATTGTAATAACATTTCACAATATTACTGTTTTACTACAGTATAAAAAGAGATATCATTAGCAATTTTTATTTTCTATGGGATGTTTTGACTTGGAGGCTTTTATCAATAGCCAAAATAAGTTATAATGAGATACTTTCTTGTTCCAGAGGATTTAGTTTGTTCTTTTCCACATCAAAGTGTAAGAACCTCATGCAGTGTATTTTATTCAGTTTTTGAGATCTCTTAAACGTACTTGTGGTGTGGTTGTTCTAGGGAGACAAAGGGAACCCAGGAAGACCAGGTCTTCCTGGTCAGGTCGGCATAGGTCAGCCAGGACAACCTGTAAGTAAAAACAGCTTATATGACTTTTAAACATGCATCTATATATTATAATGACATAATGATACACGCATCAATGAAGGGTCCTCCAGGTTTACCAGGAGCACAGGGGAACCCAGGAGCTCCAGGCGAAGGACTTCCTGGGCCCAAGGTGAGCAGCTTTAGTTGTAGAACATTTTAATAATCTAAATATTATAAGGAGCCTTTTGTGGAATGGAAACGTTCCATGCACGCATCTCCATGGAACCAATGATGCCAATAAAGTACCTTTATGCTTAAGCTCAGACCTCTATGTTATTATTTCCCTCTAATGGTCGTGTGAACAAAGACATTTATATATCACTTTTGAATGTTTTATTGTGTTTGTGTCTTAGGGTGACCGTGGATATGTCGGTGCTGCAGGTGGACGTGGACCCCCAGGTTATGGAATTAAAGGTGAAAAGGTATGTCACAGTTGTGTGAGACCTAACTTGTCTATGTAAATTAAATGCATTTAATTTAGCCCCTGAATGCATCCTTGTAGGGCAATGCAGGACCTACTGGATCACCTGGACCATTAGGAATGCCTGGCAGGGGGATTCAAGGAGAGAAAGTATTTTTCATGTTTCTGGTTTTGCATTTTGATACCAATATTGCTGTACAGTACAATAGCTGACACAAGCTTCACTATTTCTAGTGATCATACATGGGGTTAATCATCTGATTAAACCCTAAACAACATGCATGGTTTGTGCTACAGACACGAATGATACCTGAAATCATGCAGCTTGCTGGAAGAAGTGTGCTATTACTTTTCTAAATAAATGGAAACATGCAAATAGAGCCACTTGCCACTGCTAGAAAACCTCTTTCTAGCAACTACTAGAAATGTCCAGCTAGCCACCCAAAAGACCCAAGCAACCACTAGAACTATCCTAGAAATCACCCAGAAGACACTAGTAACCACAAAACATTTCTGACGGACCACCAGATGACTACCACATCTTTTCCTAATTGTCGCCTTTATTTTTATATCTAAAGGGGAATCAGGGACCAGCTGGTCCTACTGGTCAAAGAGGGTATCCTGGGATAGGACTCACGGGACCAAAGGTAAAACTGCACCATACAAACATCCATCCATCTGTCTGTCTGCCTATCTATCTACACTGTGTTTTGGTTTTGTTTCCTCACAGGGAGAACAGGGTTTCCCTGGAGAACGTGGAACCCCTGGAGAAAGAGGAATTGGAGAACCAGGACCCAAAGTGAGTTGTCATGTCAACTAAGCTGTTACATGACATGAAAGAACAGAATAAAGTATCAAATAGTGAAATCAGAGTTGTATTTATGGGTTGATGCCGTAGGGTGAACCTGGGTTACGAGGTTTACCTGGTGAGGCAAGTGTACCAGGAGAAGATGGAGCCATGGGAGCAAAGGTCAGAATGCTCTTAATGGCATGTTAGTGAGGGATAGCTTTACATAAAAAAATTCTATATAATATACTGTAAAATATCTTATAATATACTGTAAAATATCTTGTTTACTTTAGGGTGATATAGGCTTACCAGGACCCAAAGGACAAGACGGACCTCCAGGAAGAGGCATGCCTGGAGAGAAGGTAATGTATGGATGTGCTCTATTGATTCTTCAGACAAAACTGAAGCTTAAAACATTATTGTATAATGGCAATCTCACTTTAAAGGGATAGTTCACCCAAAAAATGAAAATTCTGTCATTACTTACTCACCCTCGTGTTGTTCCATACTCATAAGACCTTCATTAATCTTCAGAACGCAAATTAAGATATTTTTGATGAAATCTGAGAGCTTTCTGACCCTCCATATAGACAGCAAGGGTACTACCATGATCAAGGCCCAGAAAGGTAGTAAGAACATTGTTAAACTAGTGAATTTGGCATCAGTGGTTCAACCGTAATTTTGAAGTTACGAGAATACTTTTTGTGTGCAAAGAAAACAAAAATAAAAATTGTATTCAACAATTTCTTCTCTTTCATGTCAGTCTTCGATGCGTGTTCACGATGGTACCACACATTTTTGGGTGAACTCTCTCTTCACATATATTGAATAGGCTGTATCTTCTTTAACAGGGGGTTCGAGGGGAGAGGGGCTCCCGAGGCCTACCAGGACCATTGGGACCAGTTGGGCCAGCAGGGGCAAAGGTGAAAACAATCCATTCATATTTATAAAAACAAAATACCACATCGAGAAAAGACCTTTGTCTCTGTCATTGCCAGTATTCACTTAAAATCTATTGAGTTACAGTATCTTTCATTTAAAATAGGGAGAACCAGGGAATGTTGGAGTTCCAGGTGTTTCTGGGCCTCCAGGACGGGGCATACCAGGACCTAAGGTACGTTTGAGAAATGCTCAGGATTAAAAACAAGCTGTATCAAAAATAAAATTAAATACAAATTGACCATTTCTTACTTTAATTTATTTATGAAAATTAAGACACATTTCTGCTTTTTAAACCTCACTCTAAAAAAATTATTCAGGGGGCCTGCTTACCACAGCTTATATAAATGCATGGTTTCAAGTAAAAAATTCTAATTTAAGCATTGATGAGTTCTGTTGATCATTACAGTAACTTAATATTGTGTGTAATTTAAACTCAAATATCTGCGTTGTAGTAACTCAATAAAATTGTCTTGTTAACTTTGGAAATTGGGTATGCTTTGCATAGGACTATAGATAAGGAGAGTAAATGTTTGTTTAATTCACATGTATTTTGTTTTCGTACAGGGTGATCCTGGATATCAGGGTTTACAGGGGCCAAGAGGGTTTCCTGGAGACGGTCTACCGGGGCAGAAGGTGAGGAGCGTCATATACCCACTACTAGCATGCATTTATATTTTGTACAGCAAGGAATCCTTCACACAGTTACATTTACTCACCCTCATGTTGTCCCATACCTGTAGGACTTTCTTTCTTCCATCAAACACAAAATGAAATGTTTGCCACTATTTTTCACAAAACTGGTGATTTATAATGCCAGACTTACAGTATATGCACTTACATGCAATTAAAAATGTTGCATCACGTCAGACTTGAAAACATGAGCAAAACTGTGGCTCCTTTGATGTAACTACTCTGTTGTAGGGGGATCGTGGGTTACCCGGAGCACAAGCACGTAAAGGAGACAGAGGAAGCCAGGGAGGACCAGGATCTACTGGACCACCGGTGAGAAGAACTGAGAAGGAAAATCTGATCATCCACGCGAGACTTGCTTTTTAATCTTTAAACATTATTATAGCTGATAATTCCAAACATTGCTTAAGACACATCTCTGCATTATTGAACTACATTTTACACACCTGAACATTGTGTTTTATAATCACAGGGTAATACAGGAACAAAAGGAGAACCTGGTCTCACGGTACGTACACAGATGTCAATAAAGAATTCATTTGTTCTAGTGCAAAAATAAAATAATAATTAAGAAAAATAAAAGTATTATGCTGTTGATTGCATTATCATCCCATTTTTGGTGTAAAAATGATTTGACTTTTGGGAGTTTGGTTAAATTATGTAAGTGGAAGGTAAAGTCCAGTGCATTGCATTATGGGATATAGTATTCCACACAGTGCTTACTGCTCTTTTTGGTCATCTGCAAATTGGTGTATGATCTACTTGTAATTATTTGTGAAATTTACTAGTAATTTCAATTTCTGAATTATTTCAATGCATTGAATTAAATGGGATTTTTGTTGTTGTTGTTGTTTAAATAAAAAGACTGAAATAGTATTTTCTTGTTAAAACATATTCCAATAATCTTAGTTTTATTTACAACTACAAAAACAAAAATTTTTTTACAGTGTGTTTTTAACACATACAAAACATTTGGATATTGTACATATGCTATACAATTATATATATATATATATATATAACTATGTATTATATAAAAAAATTATGTAATAAAATAATGGCATATATATATATATATATATATATATGCCATTATTTTATTACATAATTTTTTTATATAATACATAGTTATATAAAAAGTTTTGTATAATTTCAGCTTTATATCAGTTATATATATATGCCATTATTTTATTACATTATTTATATATATATATATATATATATATATATATAATTGTATAGCATAT